AGCTTGAGTGAGTACTACTACTACTACTACAACTACTACTGCTACTGCTACTGCTACTGCTACTACTACTACTACTACCACTACTACTACTACTACTACTACTACTACTACTACTACTACTACTACTACTACTACTACTACTACTACTACTACTCTCATGTGAAAGCAAGCTTTGAGTGACTTCGTTGAGCTTTTGCAGCGCAGGCTCTTCGTGAACAACATAAGCGATTGCCAGGCCCCGCACATCGCATGTTCTGGTTGCACCCACCTACAGGTATTCATAGGGACCCTTAGGGGGTAGGGGGGAGGGACTATACTTCCTTAAACAGGCCTCATTAGGTCCTTATTAGGGGCATTAAGGCCCCCTACCCAGGGGTCCCTATGAGGTATGTAGACTGCTCTGCCAATGCCGGTGCAAGTCCGTCGGTGCAAGCTTCCCTCCCCTTGGTTCGTAAATGCGATCCCTAAGCGCTAAACCCTAAACCTTAAACCCAAAACCCTAAACTAAACCCAAAAAACCTTAAACACGAAGCCCTAAACTAAACCCTAAACCTTAAACACGAAGCCCTAAACTAAATCCTAAACCTTAAACCCGATCCCGGAATCCCTGAACCTTAGACCCGACAACCTAAACACCAAAAGAAGTCCTACAGAGGCCAGAGATATGGAGAAGTTCAGCGCAGTCTCATGCAGAAGATCGTGGAGACATGGAGTTCCTTTCCCGGCTGGGCGGCCGAGCATGAAAGAGCTCAGGGGTTTAGGGTTTAGGGTTTCAGCCACGTAAAACACTGTTATGATTACCATCATTATTGCTGTTTTTCATCAATGCTCATACTGTTTTGATGCTTATTCTTACTATTACCTTTATTGTTGTTATTTCTATTCCTACCACTAATGTTTCTACTGCTGTTATTACTCTTATTGTCGCTATCGATATTACTACCTCTGTGCAAGTGCTGGCCGAAGGCCCACATCGAGACATGGTCCTGGAGCAGGAGTTCGTGGACATATCAGCAGAAGCAGACGGCGGAGAACAGCCGCTCCTCTGAAATAGCAGTAGCTCAATAAGTTCCAAATCAATAGTTCTCAAAATTATGGTCCCTGTTTGGGTACCCTAAATAGTAGGTGCCGTATTATAATCGGGACCCAAAAAGGGACCCTAATTTTGAGAACCACCCATATAGCAGCCTCTAAGTGGTGCTTTGCAGGGCTGGGTTGATTCTTGATGGTCCCTGCTGAACAGCCTTTTTCGATTCCTTTGCCCAAGATTGTCATCAGGGCTGCCCCGGCGTTGTCGTTTTTGCCGGGGTGAACCAGGGGGTAGTTGCCAAAAATCCTGGCCCCTTTTTGGGGTACCCTAAATATTAGGTGCCGTACTATATTGTAAGGACCCAAAACGGGACCATGCTTTGACAACCACCCACATGCATGTATGATAAGTCCGGCATCAAAAGCCGCTTGAAGAGGCCCGGGAGCCTCTTTGAGTTGCGGCCCTACCGGGCCACGCGCTCGACGGATCAGCTCCTGAAGCTCTCGTCCTTGGTGTCCTGAGCTTATGTCAGCTTATGTCTCCCACTACCACGTAGAGCGCCGAGGGGTGTAATTTGTTGGTCGGGCTAGTGTCTGATCACCCTGGACTGTTAGGTCTCGAGTCAGCGCGACGGACTGCAGCCCCGATGTTTGCACTGTGTGCAGAGAGTTGGAAGTCAGAGTGCGAAGCATTGGTTCAGGACCCTTACCTGTGCTGGACCAGTCTGCCACTCTCTCCGAGGGGATTTCCCGAATTCGAGGGATACCGCCGTCCGATGCTGGAGGAACCTACGTTTGATATTGTTGCAGCTTGTGCAAGAAGCGCTAAAGATCATCGAAGCCAGCTGCAGGATGTCCTTTCCCATGCGCACTCGATCAGCGCTCTTGCTGATGGAGCTGTTCCACCTCATCTGTGGGAGGAGCTAAAGGAGAAGGCGCCTTGATTTCTATGCGGACTCTGTGCCTGAATCCATCCATCAGACGACCTTTGTTGCTTTTCAGCGCAGCGTCTGTGGTTGAGGTGGTTGGCCAGATTTGCCAATTCTTGGCGAATTCGCCTGCTTTTCAGAACCTCGAGGCCTCTCTCAAGCTTGCAAGTGGATCTGGAAGCCTTCTGAGAGTGACAGGACATCATGGCGCTGGACGAAAGTGAAGAGCTTGAGCTGCGGTCACCCGAGACCATCCTGGCCCACTCCCAGAGACGAGCAGCTGCCCAAGCCGGAGACGAGATGAACACAAAGCCCATAATGATGCAAGCAGGTATTGCACCTGCCTACAAATCTTGAGGCTCGAATCTGCGCGCAGCTTCGCAAAGTCAAGTTCTTGGCAGTGCCTTTGGAGAGCGGTGTGGCCTGTCCGTCTGGCTGGCCAGTCTTAGAGAGCGGCACAGCTTGTATTTGCTAGCCTTGCGACTATCTGAAATTGCGGCACAGGCACACCTTGGTAGCGCCCTGGCGCATCTCGCTAGTGCTGAAGGAACATCGACCTCCAATGCCAGCCGCCAAAACTGCACTGCTTGTCACGCCATGGCCCTAGTAACTAGTACTCGTGAAGCCGTGTCCCAGGTTTGCTTTGCCCGCCTACCTGTCCGAGCATGTTGGCTGCTCATCAAACGAGCTGAAGTTCTCTGCTCGGCAGCTTAAGCTTGCAGGTTGCACTTCTACGGATGCTGGGCGTCCGCGACGCCCTGGAGCTTCCGCAAGAGTCGCAAGGTGGTACCGAAACGGACATCTCAAGGGCACGGCTCTCATGGACCTCGCTGTCGTTCCTGTAGTTCTGTGCCCTGTGAGTGGTAGGTTTCGGTTTCGGAACTGTTGAATCAGGTCGCAGACGAATCCATGACGTGGCTTTTCGCAAGCCTGGCAAGTTTTCGTCGTGCTCCTGCACAACTGCAAGCTGCCTTTGGCAGGAAAATGGTGCCGACAGTTTTTCTGACGTGACATTGCGTTGTGATGGTGGCTCGCTCTTCCTTCATCGCAACATCCTGATGGCCCGCAGCGACTATTTCCGGGCCATGTTTCAGGCGGATGTTTCTTGTGCAGTTTGTCGAAAGTCAATGTCGGATGCCACAGGGGGAGAGTGGCTTTCGGGAAAGCCAAGAAGGTGGAGCAGAGGCACCACAGACCCGAGCTATCTGTGATCAGACATGGAGAATGAAGCAGCGTATCGAACCAGAGGTGTCCCTCTTCGAGATCCCGCTGGAAGTTGCTAAGATCTTGTTCGGCAATGTGGCGGCACTATGCAGTACTTTCTAGATTCTAGTACTCATACATCAACCTATACCCGATTGGACTGCCAGGCTACTTGTATCATGGCAAAGTGGATGAGCAGCCCCTGGAAGGTCCTGAAGGAACGTGCGCCCTCCCGGTATGCTCACCTCGATTGCTGTTTCTGTGTTGCATGTTGTTGTAGTTTCAGTATCTTCGCAGCAGCTGCATCCGGGCTCGAACGGATCCACATTGAAGCCGAGGACATATGTGATCGCAAGCGATTCCCCAACTAGGCCCTAAAGGCTGCAAATGCTTCAAGCCCAGACCCCAAGAAGTGCCAGATCCAAGCGATCTTCAAGCAGCATGGTTCACTTAAACTCCAAGAGCTCGCCCACTTCAGTTATGTCTTGGAGCAGACGCAATTGCCACTGCGAGTGCCTGCCCTCGAAGGCTGGAAGCTGTGCCCAAAAACCAGCTCTGCTTTTCGACATCTCGGGTTCATGCTCCAATTCTGAAGGTGAGACAGGTGCCCAAGAATGCGGCTCTTTCGACGTGGAACTGGCGAAGATTGGACAGATGTGCTTGTACTAAGCCCCCCCCAATAACAGGGATCCTTCGATAATGTCCAACCGCCCCTGCAAGGCCCGAGCAAAGCTCACATGCAACAGCTGCTGCTACTTCTGGCTGTGCTTCCCACAGCTTCTCAGAGTGCTCGCAGAGTGCGATTTTGATGGTTACTGTACGCTTTTGCTGTTCGTTTCCCCGCGGGAGGTGCTTGTTTGCCTCTCTGTGTTGGGAAAGACCGGGGTTACGCTCAGTCCCGAACCTCAGTCCGTTTCCGCTGGGCATGGGTTAGGACTCTTGGCCTTTACATCGAGCGAGGCACTCATGGTCCGGGGAGAGCTGGCGACTGCAAGATGCGCCTGGCCATTGCTACAGCTTGCTTTGAGGCACGGCTCATGTCGAGGAGCAGCTGTCGGTCGTCGGACCACTGGCAAGGTTGCGCTGCTGTGCTTCCTGCAATATTTGGAGCACCGCCGCGGTCCGAAATGGCAGGCTAAGCTGTGTGTGAGTGCTAATTAGAACAGCCGATGCTATCTTCCTGCAAAAAATTGGCTTTCACGTTAATCAGGGAGCAGACGTGCGAACTCTTGCACCCTGCCTGCTCATTGGACCCGGGCTCAGCTTGAGCGAAGGATACAGGCTTCACAGATTGAGGGTTTAGGATGGTTTAGGGCTTCGGTATGATTCGGTTTGTTGGAATCTACGCCGGGAAACCTGCAAGCTGAGCCCAAAGCCTCCCCTCTCGCCGCTCAGGATGGCTGATCCGTTTTGCTGTCCCAATACCGAATGGTGTAACCGAGCAGGCATGGCAACCCGGCTACTGCGCTTTCTCTGCTCCCTAAGGCCCCATAGTAGTTCCCTTTTGGGGTTCATATTTAGACTCCTGCAAGGTAATCCCAAGAAGGAACTACTGTGGGGTCTCTGGGTAGGCCTGCCTTTCACCTCTTTCCTCCGAAGCAAATCGCAAGGCGTGGTCCATGCTGGCGATTTTCGCGAGAACCTCAGCATCCTGCGATGAGAGCCAAAGACCGGCGCTGCTGTCGTTGGTTGTCGTAGAGAGCGACAGAGTGGTGATGATAGGTGGCCATGATCGTTGGCGTCGTGAAGCCCTCTGCACCTTCGGGGCCTTCAGTGGGAATGAGGGGCTCTCTTTCAGACACTTCCGAAAGAGCTGGGCATGGCGAGGTTACGGGACCCATGCCACCAGCAGCTGTGGCAATCGCAGCGGTTTCCACTGCCGCCAGGGCCCCACAAGGCGGTGTAGGAAGCTTCGACTCACTCCTATCCATTTCAATTATTATTATTACTATTGCACTATTATTACTATTATTAACTATTATTACTAGTAAGATCGTTACTATTTTAATTATTGTTATTATTACTACTATGATTACTATTATCCCATCTTCCCTCTTGGCTCCTAAGGTCGTCACAGGCACAGTGACCCTGGCACAGGGGCTCAAGGCTTTCACCGACGAGGCGCCAGATGGGTCGAAGGAAAGGGGCCCCACTTGTTTTGGGAAGTAGTGAGTAGTGGGAGTTTCCGAAAGTAGGGGTCCCTACCCTAAATAGTAGGATCCTTATTATAAGGACCCCAAGATGAGGTACCCCCCCAATTTTCGGAAACTCCCTCGTGTCTCGTCTGCTGGAAGCTCGAATCTTTGACCTCCGGGTCCGATATGAACCTGGTATCTTGTCAGCACCTCTTCTCTGATCTAGCAGCTCCAGATTTGGATGCGAGTGAATGCTGGGGAGCTGCAAGAGCTTGCATATTGTGACAGGTTGTTTGGCTAGTGGTGATCGCCTTCTTCTTTGCAGAGGGCTTTCACAAGCCAGGGCCCCACCAGTAGAGCGATTTAGGGTTTTGGGATTTTAAGGTTAGGGCTAGGGGTTTTAGGGTTTAGGGATTGGCGAAACTTTGCTGTGTAAGTCAGGACTGGGCTGGGCGATCGCATCGCCCTGAATGTGATCCAAGCAGTTGGTGGAACGACGTAGCAGCCTCAGAGATGAGAGTAAAAGCAGTACTCATGGTAATACTTATCGTAATAATAGTAATTGTAGTAATAATAGCAATAATAGCGTAATAGCAATAATAGTAATCATTGAAATAGGAGTAATACTAGTAATTTTAACGCTACGCCGCCCGCCTCGGCTCTTTAGCGGCAGGGCGAGGGGGCCGTCGATGTTGTATAGATGCTAGGGGGGCCTCTCAAGAGGAAAACGGGGGCAAGGAGGGGGGCGGGGGGGGTGAAACCATTAACCTCTAAAGGGGTAGCTCTAACAGGTACCTACAGCAATGGCTGCATGCTCATACATATACATTCCGCTGCCCATTGGCTCACAGTGGTTTTACCATATTGAGACAAGACAAGCTCTCCTTGCGTAGCAAGACAAAACAACTACTGTCCGTGTGCAGGGCGCTGCCCTTTGATCCTTAGGGAATAAACTGGTCATACACCTCCTTACAAGGAGTATCCCTTGGGGGTGTATCGGCACAGTTTTCTGGTAGCGGAGCCCGGAAAGGGCCGCCCGCCTCACAAAGTCCGCTACAGCGGTCGGCCTCGCCGAACGCTTAACCAAGCGGATAAGAGGCAGCACAATGTCGAGCTCGCATAGCGAAGCCGACGGCAGTTCCCAATCCTCCGGGGGATATGAGAACGAAGAGACCTCCCAAGGTCCAGCTACTTATGTCGCACAGTCATATGCAACATCTGACCGCATGCTTGCATCATTAGGCATAACGCCCAAGATCGCGCCTGCCTATGATGGCACCACCTCGTGGTTTGAGTATGAACAGTTGATTGACGACTGGTGCGACATAACAACGCTGGATGACACCAAAAGAGGTCCGTCTCTCAAGACGAGGCTCTCCGGATTGGCCGCAGTACAAAAAGAATCACTCAACCGAGAAAGGCTTGCAGCCCCAGACGGAGTAGATTACTTCAAGAAGAAGATGCGTCCATTTTTCGTGAAAGGAGAACAGTACGTTTTCCTGTGGCGTTTTCTCGGCCTATTCAAGGCATGGAAGGGCAACCAAGACTTTGTGACTTGGATTGCTAAGTTTGAGATCGTGCTACAGCGCGTGAGAAACTCATGGATGGATCTCTTACCAGAGATAATTCTGGAAGATGCCCATCCGGATTTCATGCAGGCTGTGCAAGCAGATCAAACCTTCATGCGCCTACAGGATGCAACCGAGAGAGACACATACGCCGCACGTTTCTTCGAAACATGGAACAAGGAACGCCTTGATAATCATCGAAGAGCGTTTCCTCTAAATGATAATCTCCTAGCTCTCCTCTTCCTAGTGCAGTCCGACCTAAATGAGATGCAACGTGAGAGGTTGGTAACAGCATTGACCAACCAAGGTTACCGAATTGAGACCTACACGTACCCTATAGTACGGCAGACCATGTTCGATCAGTTCTCAACGACCAGAACTGGTCTGCAGGATCCCAATATTCGGCACACTTCTCACAAGAAGGACCGCCATGGAAGGAGAGATCAACGCCGCAAACGCGGAGGTCGAAACTTCCTCATCCTCGATCAGGGTGAATACGACGGAGTCGATGGATTCTGGCTTCAAGACGAAGACACCCTTGAGGAAGGCTTTCTTGCCGCCGAGGATGAAGAAGCTGTCTTCTGGACAGTTGACGACCATGAGGCCTTCGTTGCAAGGAGATTCAAAAAGGGAAGAAGACCAAGAATGCGTCCCGGATCACCGGGAAGAGCAAAGGGTGGCAAGCGAAAAGGACGTGGCCGTTTTAGGTCATACCGCGGAAAAGGGAGAGCCAACCAGGCAGAACATGATCCAACTGATTCCAGCTATTTCGGTAAAGGCAAAGGAAAAGAAAAAGGAAAAGGTGGAAAAGGCAAAGGAAAAGGAAAGGACAAAGGAGATAAAGGAAGCTCCTTCAAGGGTACAAAATCAAAAGGCAAAGGTAAGGATACAGCTAAGTCTGCCTCCTTACAAGGAGACCAAACTGGATCTCCACAGGCCTATGAAAGTTCCACCGCACCGAGCTGGGATTCATGGTATGAGGACAGTTATTATACTGACTCCAGTTGGAATTATGCCGCTTATGACGATCAAACGTCTTATACATACTATGCATCACAAGCCTCACGAAGAAAAACACGGAAAAAGAAGAGAAGAAATCAAGCAGGATCATCAGGTAGAGGCACAGATCCGAGCGCGCACCAAGAACCCGTGTACAACTCATCAGTGAGTTACGCGCCCCAGGTTTTTGAACCATCCGAGGGGCAAGGTGTGGAGACTGCAACAGCAGTGTTTCCGTTGCAGCACACCGTCCTATCTGCTCTCACCGAGCGGATCAATCTTGATAAGAGCCCTACCTTTGTCATTCTTGACTCTGGTTGTACTAGGGCTATGGGTTCCCGCTATGCGGTGAACAGGCTTATCAAGGCCGTGAAGCAACATGCCCCAGGCATGATTGATTTCACTTTTTCACCTTCGAACACGAAGTTCTCTTTCGCAGATAGTGAAACAGCTCTTATCAAGGAGCGTGTAACTCTATGGTTTAACACAACTCCAAGAAGAGATACAACCATAGAAGTTTTGGATCAGGGAAGAGTCCCCATTTTGTTCTCCATTGAACAGATGAGAAATCTAAGAATGACCCTCGAGTGTAGTCCAACAGCTGACCTAGCAACGTGTGAAGCTTTCGGTTTGTATAAAACCCCTCTTCCGATTAGTACCAATAACCATTTGGTATTGGACCTTCTAGGCTTTACTTCCACCAGGAAGTACCTTCCTAAGTCAGGTACATCGTTCCGTGCGACGGAGACTGCTCTAGGAGCCAATAAGCCTTATGTTAGGATACCGGAAGGTCGCTGTCCAGCCTGTGCTGGACAGAAAAAGGCTCACACGTACCTCAAGGGTTGTGACAGAGCACCTGAGGGAGCAGCTGATCCACCACCGAAGAGGATTTCAGGGAAAAGGAAGCCTCTTCCATCTGATCCGGCAGAATCATCTGCCAAGAGACTTGATCCACCAGAATCATCTGGAGATGTTCCTGAGCCTTCCGGACCATCGGAACCATCATCAGGCTCTAGAGACAAACCTGCAGAATCCTCTGCACCGCATGAACCTCCAGAAGAAGAAAGACTTGAGGTTCCATCTGCGAAGATAAAGACTCCAAAGGGTCTTAAAAACCTTCTGAAGAAAACCCGCAAATATGCGGACAAACCTCCTGTTGAAGAGAAGTCTACAGTCCCAGGAGCTGATGACGGGACGGAGGTAAGACCACTTGAGTCAAGAGAATACCCGGCTCCTGGCACAGACTCACCAACAGGTGAAGAGATTGTCGCAGAACCTTCGCCATCTCTTCCCATTGCTCTTCGCAGGATTCATGAGAAGCTTAAGGACCCTGTAGAACTCTACAAGCTTCACCTTAAGCACCGTCATATGAGTACGGATCAGTTCAAGCGACGCACAAAAGCCTTACAGATCCCAAAGGAGATCTACGAGCTATATGACCAACTGGTCAAAAAGTGTTCAGCCTGCCAGGAACATGTGAGAGCTCCTTCGAGAGCGAAGATTTCTGGTCTAAGATCAGAGACTTTCGGTGATCTCACCTTCGTAGATCACGGTGAGCTTCCAATTCCCGGCAAGGATAGTCGCTTAGTATTTCTTATTCTCTATGATGGAGCAACAAACTTGTTGACTGCCGAAGTAGTCCAGGATAAAGAAGAACATACTACAATGTCGATTATGAATGACTACTTTGAGAAATTTCAGATCAACCCAAAGGTTGTAGTTGGAGATCAAGCATTCATGACTCCAAAAATGGAGGCTTATTACAATCGGCAGAATATCAAGCCTGTGGCAACAGGACCTGGAACACCATGGCCCAACAGGGCCGAAGCTGCTGTAAGGTTGCTGAAGCATCAGATTAAGCTCATACTTCAGATCCTGAAGGATGGTGACCCGCAGTATAACGGAATCACCATGAAGTATGGCAACCTCGTTCGCCAAGCATGTTTGGCAAGAAACTCTTCGATTACCTACGGAGGAGTTACTCCTTTGGAAATGGCCTTCGGAAGGCGTCCTCGAGATGTTATAACACCAGAGAACGCTGATCCCAATCAGTTGACAGGTAATCCAACTGATACGGAAGTCACTGCGAGAGCCATTAAGGAGCTTGCCAACAGGGCTTACCAAGAGGCACGCCAATCTGATGATCTGCGTAGAGATCTTGCAGCCAGACTGTCAATGACCCAAGGACCTTTCTCTTTGGGAGATAAGGTTTTCTACTGGTCAGAAGATAAGTCTAAGATTGGATCCACTGGGTCCAAACATGGATCTTGGCTAAAAGGTAAGGTGATCTCCGAACTCGGAGGATCCATGGTAGGTGTGGATCTTGGAACACGCATCGTCCGTGTCAATATCTCAAAACTGAGGAAAAACTATGACATAACATCTGATGTGGAGATTCCTCTCGCGCCTGATGAGGAAACTCTGACGTCAGAAGGTTCTGACCACGCAAGTTGCATGGTCACCTTCGATGCTTCCCTGCAGTCGACAGACCTAACGATTCCACATCAAGAGTGTCACTGGCAGGTCACCAGTACTGGGAAGATTGATTTTCTAGAACTCTACGGCGGATCTCCCCGCATGAGTCACAAGGCTGCCCTATCAGGTCTTCGAGTAGGTCAGCCAGTCGATTTGCGTAGCGGTCTAGATCTTGAGCAACCGCAAGGTCGCTCCAATCTTCTAAGGATCATCAAGGAACAAGAACCTACTATTATTGTTATGTCACCTGACCATTCTCAGTGGTCTAGCTGGTACTCACAGTGGAAGAAAGGCTCTGCCAAGAGACTTTCTGTTTTAAAATTCTGTGAATCGGTCGCAGACCACCAAATGAAGCTCGGACGTTACTTTGTTCTTGAGAACCCATACTACAGCAGGCTCTGGTCTTCACCAGAAGCAAAACGCCTGTTTTCTAATCATAAGATCAGCTATGAGGTCTGTA